GAATGGTAGAAAAGCAATAAAAATAATGTGATAATAAGACATTAATTATTCCCCACTTATCAACTGTGCAAATGTTGTTAAATAAATGGGAATTTGTCTAATCAGTTAAACAGTCTCAGAATTTTCATTTGCAAGTATATGTTACAAGGAGCATCAAATAACTAGATACATAAAATTATGAGAAACAAAGTGAAAGACTTGCTGTGAAAATTTCAAATGAAAAAAAAAAAATACAAAGTTGTTTTGCTTTGAAAAGAAATAGCTGTATGCTGGTTGAGAAACCAGTCAGCGTTTTCCAACTACTTTTATTAAAGAGAAACTAGACTGTTTTCAAATTTCTTTCTTTGAAAGAACCTGAGGTGTTACGAATACTCTGCTAAGCAGAGTCCAGGTAAGGCTGATGAACTGCTTTAACCAGCCTCTGTTTCCAAAATTAAAGTTCTGTGGGCAGAAGAGGTCGTGAGGGTGGCTTGCTTTTTCCTTATTGAAGTCGTGTTTGGGCTTCACAGATTTTAAAGCCAGAAGGGACTATTATGATTCCCTTGCCTGACCTCCTGCATAACACAGACTGCAGAACCTCACCCAATAATTTTCGCATCAAACCCATAACTTCCGTTTGATCTAGAGCATATCTTTTACATCAAGACTGGATATCTTCTTAAAGACTTCAAAAGTGATGGGGAATCTACCAAGCTCCTAGATAAGATAGTTTGAATTTGTCTAACTTCAGCTTTCAATCACTGGATCTCATTATGCCTTTTTCTGCTAGATTAAAGACCCCTTTTCCATCAGAAATCTCTTCCCCATGTAGGTACTTGAAGACCTTGAGAGGGTGATAAGAGAGGATGATATTTCTTGAATGGGTGAAGAGAATGTGTCATCTTAACAAAGATAAAAACTTATCCCGTGGATATTCTTTATTTTCCCCCCAGCTTAGAGCTGGTAAAAGGTGAAACAGTGGACTACTCAGGTGAGTAAAGATTGTTCCCAAGAATAAGGGCTACATCATCAGACTCTAACTCACTCCTCATAAGGTGTATTACTGAAAATGCCTATCAATTAAATTACATTTCATTTTGCCAGGTAGCAACATGATATAGAGGGATGCACCATCTGCCCACATGATCAGAGACTCTGTTTTTAACAGGCATTTAACAGTTTTAAAACCACTCAGGAATGATTCGTTTCATAATTTTTTATCCCTCGCTTTCTAAATACAAGTACAAGAATAGCTTCACCTCAGGCTACGTCTGTTTTAGAAATGTTTACTACAGTCCCTGCAAATACAGTCCATTTTTTTATTTATAAATCTACATGAAGGGCTAATTTTTGCTGTAGGCTAATTGTGAAATTACATGGACATTTCTTAAAAAAAATTAAAATAAAAAAATCAACCAAAGCCAGCACCTCCATTACCAAACAACCTCTCACCCACCCTTCTAAAACAGTCGTATTGCTGGAAAGTAGGGAAAATGAAGCAGATAAAGTATTTGCATGAAGGTCAGTGTCTCCTGTTCTTCATGGAAGAGCTCTTTTCCCTGCTCTTTGCACTCCTTGCAGGAAACCACAGTAATTATTTGGCCAAGGAGTTTACAGGAACATTGGCTTATTGTTGATCCAAGGTGGATGCTGCCACAGTGTGTATTTAGCCAGAATGCCCCCACGCCTCTGTGTGAAGGAACAAAGGAGATTAATAATGATTAGTGGTGAGCCGTGTGCTCCTGGGAGTCAAGTTATAAACTCTGTCCTGCATCCCTTTTGACAGGACACACCACTCACTTCCACACACGCTGGCTGACTTTAAATGCCTGGAAACATTAGTCTGTTCAGCATTGATTTTGTTGACTTTTCTTGGTTTGCCCTTCTCATCCTCAGCCCTGTGAGTCACTGTCCTTGTTTTTTCTTTTCTTTCTTTCTCAGTTTCATTTCAGTTGGAACTGTGTTTGCATTTAGTATTAAGGAACACAATGGACTCTTCTCTGCTACCTCTTCAGTCAAAGAAAGTAGGCACCTCAAAATACACATTTGTGCACCTGAATTTGTGGTTACACTGCTGAAGGCACCACTGCTCTGGGTCATGGTGGCAGTCACTAATATCAGACTGCAAAAGCATGTATAAATGTATTTGCCACTAGAACAGCAGGAGTTAAGTGCTCATTGACTAAAGGGGAAAATGGGGAGATGTTTAATTAGATATCTTCAATAGGAACTTTAAAAATCTAATTGTTACAGCAGCTGCTTAACTCAAACTGATCTTTCCAAAATGTGTCACAGATCAAGCTGGGGCAGTTTTCCACTAGCTTTTTAACTCCTTTGGCCAGCTCTAACCTGTGTGTGTGGCTGCCTGGGAAATGCTTGCCCCGACTGCCCAGGGTCTGGGGCTGGGCAGTGTCCTTCCTCTCCCTGGCAGGGCACAAAGCAGAGGACCACGTCTGGGGGCTGTGGCCCACTGGGCATCTGGACCACAGCTGGAGGCTCCCAAGCTCATGCCTGGCCTCCTTCCAAAGGCTGGGGAGAAACTGTCAGTCTTTGTGCTAAAAATGGCTTTGAGACCGTGGAAATTTTTGATTTTTTTTTTAAAACTGTCATCAGGTAATTAAAAGTTGACAGCCAAACATGATGATGAGCTTGAGCCAGGGGCTCTGCAGGACCAAACCTCAAAGCAGGAGAAGGTCAGAGCAACCTGACAGCAAGAACAAGTCCTGCTCAGAGTAAAGCTTCTCTTGGAGTTGAAAAATCTTAAGATAGCTGTTCACTCCTTTTCATTGTGTGCACATTAGAGATGTGGATGGAAATAGCCTAATGGTATTTCGACCCATCTCAGTGATGCTTTGGATAGAGACCAAATTCAGGGCATTTCAGTAGAGTTGACTCTATCAACATTTCAAGGTGCTCTAGCTTCTCCTGTGGGTTTAACCACAGGCTTGCTGGGCAGTGGAGGTCTGGCACTCAGCCATTATCATCTGAGGAAATGAAAGGATCTGAAGAAGCTGTGAGGGCTATGTGAACATGGACAGGTTTGTTTTATTAAAGCAGTCAGGGCACACTGTTTACCTTTTGGAGCCAGCATCTGCCAGTATAAACTAACCTTTCCAGTACTCAGCAGGGAATTAGCCCACAGGACCCACTTTCAGACACACTGCCAGGTCAGGAACTAAATGAGCACCAGCTGACCCACAGATTGCAAGCACAGAGCAGAAGAAGCAGTGGTTTGCTTCTCTGCCCACCTGTCATGCTGCACAACCATGCCTTCTACGTGCAGGCTGGCCACGCTGCACTAGGCTCCAATCACAACTATGCTTAAAAAGCTCTTTAGCCTGATTAAACACCACTGTCTTTGGCCATACGCAGGCCCTCTTAAGCAAGGGTTATTAAACTGACATTGGGTAAACACATTTTTTAAGTAAAGGCTTTTTGTGGAGGCCAATTATCATTCCAAGTTGTATCAGCTCTCCATGGTCAGCGTAGCCTGCCTCCCCATACACAGGTGATGGCTAATGCATGTGGGAAGAAAAACCTACTTGGAAACAAGTTTCTTTGCACTTGATAGAGGATGTTTCACTGAACATGTTTGTATGAATATCGGTTTTCTTCTCTTTTTACAAAGATTTACCACATACCCTCTCTGCAAATGACTGAGCAGACCTATGGGGCTGCAGGGTACATATATAACATTTCTTCACATTGGCACATTTTAGTTTCTCTTTCACTGAGGCAATTTCTTAACAGGAAGGAAAACATTGATTTCTATTGACAAGTAAATACAGTCAATGCAGTTTGCTGCTCTTTGTGCTCTGCAGTTACCTGTTCCTTGCATTAGTAATATTCACAGACCAAGTCAAGGAGCCCTTACTTAATACAACACTCACCCCAAAATCAACATGCTCTTCTGTACATGGTTAGTCCAGACAGATCTTTATAACAATTTGGATGATAGATGACCAGTTATCACCCTTACCAAATGATGTTTCAGTGACTATCAGAAATCTGTGTGATGTCCTTCCATCACTAGAAGTACTGAACTGGAATCAGACTGACCTGTGGCAGTAGGATAGACCAACACTCTACATCAAAGAGCAGCCAGTTTTCAGATCATCTCTAATTCATGCTCTTATTCAAACTTACATTTAAGGCCAACCCACATTTCCAGCTCCTCATCTAGTTTCTTAGGTGTCAAATTACTAAGTCTTTCCTGCAGTGGGGCTGGCCTCCAGCATCACGTAAAATGCATTCCCCAAGGTAACAGAGCTGCACAGAGACACACAACTGAGGCAAGTTTGGAGTTTGAAAACTGGAAAATGCTATGCACCAGAAAGGGGCCATTATTTTCTCCCTTTAGGCTGGTAGAGCTTCTCTTTGACAATGCAATGGAAAGTTGTAATATTTTAACCAAAATTCAAATTGATAACAAAAGTATCATTCCTCTTGGGGACTTTACTTAACATTTCTAGTATTTGAAAAAACAATACCACTGCACTATCTTCTGAACCAGAGGAATATGTCCTTCTAACAAAGTATATACATGTATTCTTTACTCTGTGTTTTTTTTTGTTTGTTTGTTTTGTTTTTTTTTGTTAAAAATCTGAAATTCTGAAAAGCCAGAAGCATAAATACATATTTTGCCTTGCCTTCTACAGCAACTCTTCTAAATAACAATAAAAAAAAAACAAACAACTCTGGCTTCCTGTTGAAAACTTGAAAATGAGAGTGGATGGAAGAGTCACTACATGGTTTTGAAAAGCAGACAGAAGCTCAATGCACTCAGGCTCCAAGCTGGGAAAAGCTACATGCCTCAACAGAGCTAGTGTCACCACCTCTGTGCTCAGGTCTCACCAACTTGCAAATTACTTGAATACACGTCATTACTATGTAGTTGGTACAACAATAAAGATAGAAATGCTTTTTTCCCCAACAATAAACGGAAATGATGAAAGACTATACTGATGAATAGAAAAAAGGCAACCACAGCAGATAAACTTAGGTTGTCTCCTCATAGGCCACCAGGCAGTGGGCTGGGATGGAGAAGGGTCCCAGGTGGGATGGGTCAGTCCCTCAGACAGGTGCTGCCCATCTGGGGTGAGGCACAGCTCCAGAGAAGACATATAGGAGAGCTTGGCAGGAGGCTGAGCTCCTGCTGGAGTCAGGCTTCAGACTGCATCAATTCTGACTGTAAGAGGTTTGGACTCAAGGATGCAAGGGGTTGGGACGCTCTGATACAACCTTGCTAAAATCATGCTAGGTTGAATGTCAAGCGGGTGGCCTTACGAGAGCAAACTGAGGAATCCCCATGTGTTCTTTCTAAAGTTAGTCCCTCCAAACTCTTATAGGCTATCAGCTGTTGTCTGTTTCCCTCAAATAACAGGGGAAAGAGCTCGTTCCTATATTTGTTGGGGCTGTTTTCTACGCAGATATGGACGGCTGCTCTCTTTTGTAAGCAAAAAGAAAGGTGACAGTGAGCATAATATTCTGTGCAGCTATATGAAGGTCTTAGTCTATAATGCCCAGCTGGCAAAGCACCTGCAAATCCAGCACACCAGGCCTTGTGAAGTGCATGTCTACCTCAGGAACATTTGAAATTTCTTGCTGTAGGCAGGTAGATGCTTTTGCAGCCTGCAAGGCAGTGGGGTGTAGGGACTCTCTGGGCCCTTGCAATGACATCAGTTCAACCTTCCCTGAAATAGGTCAATGCCTATGAGTTGAGAGCCAGAATGAGACATGCATCTCAGCCTTGGAAGGTGCAGGGAGGACTGATTACTGACACCTTGCCCCTAACCTGATGAGGAAGTGAAATTCCACAGATCAACTGGTAAGTACTAACAAAGGTCTAATGAAGAGCATTATTTCCTTTCTCCTGTTGGACTCTGTTGCTCTGTTTTTCTTATTATTCAGGGAAGATTTGTTAAGAGTCTTTCAGGAGAGGGTCTATGGTATTCTCTGCCCTGAGCTGGTAGCCCCTGTGAGGTTGTTCTAACCAACAAGGGGTTTGTAAACTAAAGTCTTGCTTGGCAAGCCAGGTGAGAAGGGCTACAGGCTACTCGACCAACAAAGAACAAAGACATAGCAGCCGGAGGGTTTAGATGAAGACAGTGTTACCACTGACTGCAGGTAAACTGAGATCTAGAATGTTTTTTCTGCACATAGATAATATGTTGAAACTTTAAATCCAGTCCCTAAGACCCAGAACTGCTTATTTGAAGAACAAAATCCAATTTTCTTCTAAAAATGTTCTACTGAAATATCTTACAGCCTCATTTTTCATTCCTCTTAGTGTGAAGGTTGGCTGTTGTGTCAAGCAGCATTTATCTAGTAACTAATGGAGTGGCATGAAAGCATGGTAGGGAACATTGTCCTCCTTGTTGTTCTCTATGCATCTGCCCTGACTTAAATCAACAGGCTGATTGTCTGATTTGAGCAGTATCTAACCTGTACCCCATTAATGCTAACATCCTGGCTTGGTGCTGCATCCTTCCCAGAGGCTGCTGTTGTGAGGTGTACCCATCTGTGGTCCCCACTTCAGTTCAACACGAAGACTTGCTCTGTCACACCCCCAGTAGAGTGCTACAGAAGAAGAGATAACTATAAATGAAACAGACTTAATTCCTTCCTGTGGGCATGAAAGTGCCTCGAGCCACCTTCATAACTGTGCACCTGGGTGACTGTCAGAGCTTCACTGTTCTCCCAAAAGCCTCCTCCAAGGAGCTGGACTCCTCACTGTGTCCTGGTCTTGGCCTCTGAGTGGCCTCTCACTTGGAGGCATGCTGTTCAGCTGCTGGATATCTCCCCAAGCACCCAAAGCTGTTGTTTGTCTTGGTTTACCTGTGTATGAACTGCAGTGACACTTCACAGAGAAGCTATGAGATCTTCTTAATGAATGTGCATGGAGGACCCAGGCTGGAGAGATGCAAAATAACAAATGAATACAACTGTGTAGCCTCAGAGTGCTCCTAAAGAAAGTTGAGTATGTGATGAGAACAAGTTTTAATAGATCCTGACCAAACGTCCCTATGTTGCAGGCCTGTGAGCAAAATGCAATCTGCCTCATGCCATGTGTGAGGAGACTTGGAGAGCCAATTAAAACTGCAAGCAAAATCTTGAAATTTATTTTTATTTATTTATCTTGAGCAGAGGATTTTAGGATATGCAATCCTAGGCACATCTGAAGTGTACAGCACCTGTGCTTCAGTGTGGTTTGGTGATCTAGCACTGGTATCCTGGGTGGCAGCATAAAATATTCACAAAGACAAATGCGAGCTGAAGCTGCTACAGGCTCCCTCTACCAGCTGTGTGGGCAATAAATAAAGAAATAAATAAAACAAAACCCACCCAGCTAAACTGGATGTGGCAGGCGAGCAGAAGTGTCTCTGTCTGAACCTGTGCATGTGTGAGTTAGTCTGTGTGCTTTAAGAGCCAAATTAGCAGAGTTTTGTGAACAATGTTCTCTCGACAAGTCAGGTGAATTTTATTCCTTGCTTTCAGCTGTTCCGCTGAATTTTATGCAGCTCTCCAGAGACTCGCAAGCTCAGAGAGTTCTTTCCAAAAATGTCGTGTTTGCTCTCTCAGTTACATTCCTCGCCCTGTCAAACCTCCGCTGCTCTAGTCCCCATTTCTTTCAAATGTTTTTCTTCTGTATGTGTGTGTGCTTTAGTGACTGCATATAGCCAACGGTTTTTCTTCCAGTCAGCTCTGAAACAATAGTGAAGTTAAACCACTTCCCTTCAATAAAAGGAAAGGGGGCACAAAGATTTAGAGAGCGACTGAGAGGAGACAGGAAACTGAAAGAAAGGGTCTGCATGGGGCTGATGATACATAACGGGATGTGATGTCCTTCTAGCCAGCATCCAGTCCCTTTGGTGCCCCGTCAGTGTCTCTAGGGGACAGGGCACAATTTTCTACAATGGGTAGGGTTTGGACAACTGTGGAAGAACAAGGAATGGAGAAGAAAGCGTTTGGGGGTTGTTTTTCTTTTTCTTTTTTTTTTTTTTCCCCATTACCTCATCAAATAAAGGATTTTGATGTTACAAATAGCCCCTGAAGAGGCAGAGGCCTGCTTGGAGGGCCTGCTCCTTCCAGGAGCTGCTGGATGTGTCTTTGACCGTCATGGGCATAGCGGTTGCTCAGACTGGTCTCAGATCTCAACAGACTCACCCCTACAGGGCAGGTTTGTTTCCCTCTGGTCTCTCCTGGCTTCACCCGCTAACTGTGTTGTGAATTAATGCCACATGTAATGCTGGGGACACCTGCTGGCCTGGCCTGCAGGGCCAAGTGACCCCACAGTGGCAGGGGGCTTGTGGGCACTCATGACCCAGGGAGAATTTGAATGAGTGACCCAAAGGCAAAAGGCTCAGTTGGTATCCTGTTACTAATCCCCTCATCCAGCCAGATCCCCATCTCTTCCCCTCTTTTTTTTTTTTTTTTTTTTTTTTCTTAAAGGGCATTTGCTGCACCAGCTGCCAGAATATCTCAATTGCATCATGTCAACAGATCCATCTCAGACTGATATTTTATACTAGGGGAAGGCTGGGCTTAACTCTTCCATTAAACAATTAAAGCCATGCGCACCAAACTCAAAACAGGCTCTGCTGTAACAGAACAATAAATATTGATGACTTGAGGCAAGTCTGGCTTTTATGACGTTTGATGACAACTGGTATCACTTACAAAAATTACATCATAAAGAAAAAGCAATGAAGTTGTATGTCATCAGACAACATTAAATGTCAAAAGAAATATGTTTATCCTTTGTTTTCAGATCCAACTTGAGTTCTAACATTAAATGAAATCTAGGGCTGTTCTGATATTTATCAGGCTCTGGTGCAAAACGTCCTGGGGTATTTTTGTTTACTAACTTGCTCATTGCCAAGGGTGGCGTGTTTATGTTCTCATTCTTTCAAGCCAATTTGTGCTGAGCAGAGCATCCTCTGAATTGAAACATCCACTTCCTCTTTACCCCACCCACCTTACATGTATTTTTATCTGCTCTCATCCTCTGGAGGAATCGTTGGCTGCCAGCTTCTTGAAAACCTCAGGGTAATCAATGACTCTGTTGGGCCTGGGGATGAGATTCATGGAGGTCAGGTATTAGCAATAAATCATGGGTTTATTGAAGATGTTGGGAGATGAAAACAGTTTTTTTTTTTTTTCTTCTTCCCTAAGCTAAATAAATTCGGACTGTCTGGACCACTGCACCACATTTGTGGTTTAAACAAAATAAACTCTCTCTGGATGTGAACCTCAAGATCCTATATATATCCAAGGATGTTAAAATAAGTGCTATTATTTGGTAATTATAGAATTTTCAGCTATTCTGAGTGTTTTAATATCTAGTGCTATATACATATAAAACAAAAATAAAAATGGAGAAGCCTTTAAATACATGTCTTAGTCATGAGGTCCTTTTGCTGGCCAAATTCTAAAAACGTTTTCTTAGCTTTGCATGAAGTAATAGATCATGTGAAAAACCTGACCCAGAGCTTATTGCAATGCTTGTCATGTTTCCCTTTTGATAATTGACACAAATGTAGAAAAGTTACCTTTTTGGTGGGAACAGGTGGAAGAAAGTAGAAATGGTGCTCAGCAAGCAACAGGGAGAGTGGAAATGTCACTGAGACAGCACCTCATGGCATTCACCACCTCCTACCTACGTACTTATTGGCACCTAAATATGAACCATTTTTTTCAATTGAAGAGCATTTCTATCGCATTTCACTGCTTCCAATGTCTGCTGTTATAATGCAAGAGGGGAAAGTTTTTCAGCTCTACCATATTAGATGAATGTGTTTGTGATTCTCCTGTAGCCTGTATGTAAAAGACACAGTTATACCACTGTGCTTCTCCAAGGTAAAACGTTCCCTGAACTTCAGCGTCTCCTCAGACATAATCAAGATTTTGGTATTAGGAGGACTGGGGAAACCCTGCACTTCATTGTAACTTAAGGTCACTGAAGATTTCAGTGTTTTTCTTTTAGATGTCTGCTAGAAAGGACTTGGGAGTTGTTTTAGACTCAAGGGGAATCTAAACCCGGACAATTAAAAACTATGCATAAAAAGGCATTTCTAGAACAGTTTTTGCAGTCTGTTTCAGCTGAGGTTTAAGTTATTGAGGGTTTTTTAGCTCATCCCTGATGAGACAAAAGTAGGGGGAAATGCTGTATGTTTTTTTCTTCCTGAATGGCACACAGACTGTCAGTTCACAGGACCTGAATAATCACTGCTGGGTGTTAGGTCTCAGATTTTCTGACTGTTTTAAAGCCAGACAGGGGCAGCTGCAGTTGTTTTACACTAAGGAATTTCAAAGAATCATATGCTTTTTCTTGTGGTTGAATTGCTTAAAATATTCCTGTTCCTAAAGTAAGCTGAATTTACACACATCTATATGTATATATAAACAAACAAACACTAAGGCTGTAAATCAGCTGGGGAAAAATGGTAGCAGTTGAAGCAGGAATACATCTAAGTTATTCTGGGGGACTAAGAAAACATCCAAAAGTAAATACAGCACACATATTTAAAAAAAAAAAAAAAAAAGAAAAAGAAAGTATATATACAATAATAATAAAAAAAAATGGCATTAATAAGCACTGGAAGATATTCCACTGTTTTTTGCTCATTTGCATGTCAATACAACAATGTTATGCCAGCGCAGAGCTACTTCATAGCAGCACTGGTGTCTGAGCCCAAGGGAACAATGTAAGAGGTCGTATCAGCACATTTGTAGGTTCACTGATTTCTTTTCCGTGTGCTCTGGAAAACAAAACAAAAGGGGAAAGACTGGCAGTGTATCCTATGTGGTGATTTGTTGCTGACCTCTCCGGTCTTCAGCACAAGCACAGTGGCTGGTTTTCCATCCTCACAGCTGTAGCCCCACATGGTTTATGTTGCACAATGTGGGGGAAGCAGAGACCTTTGAATTCCACCGTGGGCTCTGCTGCTGTAATACGTTGCTGTAACTTCACAGTTAACACAGCACCTATCTGGGTCTGCTTTGACTACTGGCTTTTCCTTGCCTGAACTTAGAGGTCAGGATGTCTTTGGCTGAAATCAGAGCAGTCAGCTTTAATTATCACTCTGTCAACTTCTACAAAACCTTTTATCTGAGGGTTCCAGGGCATTTTACGGATGTTAAGGGGCAATTTTGGCTCTGTTACACAAACACAGCTTCCTTCAATAAGCTGTATTTGTGGCTCTGATTTGAACCAATTAATGAAGTTTTGTATTCTCACATCAGCAAATCCTCTTCAGAGGAGGAGCCTTCAGCAGCTGTGACATGGAAAGCATCATTATACAGACATGTAGGGTGAGAAACAGGGAAGATGCTGTGAATAGGAAGGGTAAGCAAGCCTGACAAGAAGTTCCTGCTTCAGTAGTTGAATAAGGTTGAAGTACTCTTCTGAAACACTCACCACACCTCATCAGTTTTATGTAGGGTTCCTATAACTTTCCTTAGCACTTCCCACTGCCTGGTTATCACAGACCTGAGTTTTGTGGTTCATGCTTTCAGATGGGTAGTATTCCCTACAGGTTTAACTCTGGGCTATGTCCTTCATTGGATGGTTAAGAGTGTTGAAGTTGCAGCTATAAGACTTGATCTGTATGGAGCTAGCTCTGAGTTGCCTTACCTGCTTAGGATGACTGCTTAAACAAGTGCAGCTGTTGCCACAGGATAAACATGAAGAGCTGCCCTGGATTTGCACTCCCAGTAGAGTTACAGCTGTATTATTCTATTCATTTTTAAATGCCTGGGAACCTGTGCTAGGACCCCACCATGCCATAGTGCCAAAGCAACAACAGGAGACTGTCAGGGAAATCCAAAATCTCTAAAACTAAAAATAAATTCATCTACTGGGGGCTACCAGGAGGAAAAGTAAGAGCTGCCAATACATGCAGCATTTTTTTGGCATATCACTATCTGCCAATTTTAGCTTGTCAACTGTTGCTGGCAGTAGGCAGAGAATGTGAGTGACTTTCATTAATTACCATTTCTCTGCCAACATAGATAACCAGAGCTTCCTTCCACATCACTGATGTGCACTGAGACTTTTCTTCTTTTTTTTTTTATCAGTTGTGAAACTTCAAATTATCCTTTTACTTAGGAATTTTGTCAGACCTTAAGTCTATGGGTTTTTTCTTTTTTTTTTTTTTTTTATGGAAATTGTATCTCCTTGATTTAAGCTATGCTTTCCACTTGCATGTTTGTTCTTGGACACTGAATGTTGAATAGCCTTTGTGTAGTTTCAGCTGTAAAACTTTCTCTTCTCTGGACTGGATTTTCTTTATTTTTTGGCATTGATAGAGAGCTTCAGAGCCAGGCAGGGAATCCAGAATTCCAGATTTTCTTTCCTTTGGCCACAAGATACCTATGCAGAAAGCTGGAATGAAAAGGGTCAAAACAACCCACCTGAGGAAGATGACGTGTTGTTCATGAGGCACAGTGTATGGCAATAACCAATGCATTTGAGCAAACCAGTTAGAGAGCAGATGTTGCTGCTTAATCTGTCTCATGTTTGGTAGTTGCCCTTTCAATGGTGAGTTTTACCTTCCATGCTGTAGCCATAACTGCTGAAGTGTATAAGCAAGATCTCTATGGAGAGGCAAAATTGCTTGATACAATATAACTTCCTGACTGCCACTCTCTTTCTTGTGGTCCTTGTCCAGCAGGACTAAAATGACTCTAATACTTTGTCATTAGCAAGACCTAATTACTTTGTTCATTAAGTAAGGGGTGACTTTGAAGGCCACATGGCTTTTGCTCAGATTTGCTCTGTGATTCAGTGGTTGATTTCTTTCTTCCTACTCAGAATATTTATTCACATTTAAACAAATGGTGGATGAGCAAGTCTGAGAAAAGGGATAGTTCATTTAAAACACTGATTCAAGTCTGGTGTATTCAGAACATTTTATTTAATGTTTTTGTTAACCTAAGCAACTGCATTTGCAGCATGAATGGGAAAAGGGCTGGAATCTTCCACAGAAACCTGCTCAATCACTCCACTTTCTGTGAGGCTAAATTAAGAGTTTTCTTTCAAAAGTTGGATCTGCCCTGCTTACTACTGGAAGGCTCTTTCTGAATTAATCCCTGCAGTTCTGTGACTTAGACTGACTTACAATAGTGTGTTGGTGCAGAAGATCGACCCGTGTTTAACACCTGTAATCTGTTCCTTTTTACAATCTGTCACTGAAATCACAGCAAAGAGCTCAGAACCAAACCATGGTTTATTTTAATGGTGGGAAGACAGTGTTGAGAGAGTTTTTATGATGGCAAACTGTTGTTATCTAGCTCTCCATCAATTATTCTAAACACATGTCATTTCTTCATGTCCTGAAGGGTGTCTGTAGTCTAGTCTAATTCCTTTTCTTCATTTAATCACCTGGGCATTGACATCAAAAAAGTTAGTCTTGCAAATCAGATGGAGTGGAAATACAATTTTTAGAGGTAATAACTTTGACATTATTCTCTTATGCCTCCTTCAAATTATTCAAGGCGTTTTTTGTCCAGTTCTTAGCTGTTTATTTTGTTCATGTGCTGTTTTGTCCTCCAGTTTATTAAATATAATGATTCTTACAAGAAGCATTTATATCCAAGTCATTGCGTTGTGGAACATGCAGTTCAAGCTCCAGATG